TAATAATAATAATAATAATAATAATAATAGCACATTAAGTATAAAAATTACTTTGTTTTCGACAATTCAGATATGGCTTACAAATTATTAAACCTAAGCAATGGAATACGAATTCAGGGTCAAAATAAAAATTTACTATGACATATGATACTTAATTACTGAGAAAAATGTAAGTTCAAGCATGACTAATTTTGTTTGAATTTGCTTGCTTACTGTTTTTGATATATTTGACCTAAACAAAAATCTGGGTTAGATTTAAGTTCCTCCTGAATTCTAAAGTCAACTAAAAGAGATCTCGAAACCCCACTTAGAAGCGAAAACAACTATAACTACTCTTTTATTGGTTAAGAGGTCATCATTAAGGCTTTTGATTAACTAACAAATGAAATTAGGCAGATCTCTAAGTATAATAAAGTTAATAGAATCTAAAGCTTTAGGGTATCTATAATAACTTTATTTCGTTGGCTTTTTTATTCACTTATCTTTTCCAGAGCCAATTTGCCTTCCTATAAAAAGGATCACTTGCAATGCTCCTAGTATGCTCCTTTCAGAAGCACTGATAGAACTAAGCTGCTAATGAGGTTTTTGACTTCTCCAAAACATCTGATAACAGGAATATAATTGCTGATTCTGGACAATTTCATTTAAATGGATCTGCTGTATGGGTATTACTGAGAGAGTGATAGTCGAAAATTACGATTGAGGTGAGAAAGGATCAAAAGGGAGACTATCAAGCAATACTCAAAAGCTATTTTAGGTGCTTGTATAGCTTAATGAAATTTCTTGATCGGGTACGTTTGTAGAGCAGCAATGCACAAGAGCTCAGTAATTATAGCTGACTATAGAAGGAGATATTTTTAACAGAGCGGAATTAAATTGTATCAGTTAAGTGAAGAGGGAGTCACCGGGCGTGTTGCTATGACGTGAAAAAGCCAAGTAACCATATAGAACCTATCTTCTATGACCTCCCAGATACCCCCACTTTATCTTTTCTAGCCCTTTAAAGCAATCTCAGTCAATAATTAATTTATATGCGCCATAATGTGATAATAAGCTTTAAAGGATACTCCAAGAAATAACTTACCTGATGCCATCTTAGGCATCTGGAAATCTTCTGGAGGCTCGCCTATAACAGAAGAGTCGGTACCTGGTGGTGGAACTAGTATATTGAAGGATGGCGACGCGTAAGTAAACCCTGGATCCGTGGCTGAACGAGGCACTTCGGCGAGACAACGACCTATTGCTGCCGGACCCGAGCTTAAATCGCGTAGCCCCAACAGGGTAAGTTGTGCTTTGTTAGTAATAACCTCATTTTTCACCAACTTTCCCATGATGAAAGAGTCCCCTTGGGCAGTTCGAAGATCCCAGTGGTAGATGACACCCTCTTTCACGATTTCACCCGTCTCTGAGGCTGTTTAGGAAGTTAAAAAAAATACAACAGTGGAATAAACTATCGAAATTAAGGCTGAAAATTCGCTTGGAAATAGCTATAAATCAGGAATTGAAGTAGGCCGGGATGAGACTGATAGCGGATATAAAATGACTAGACATAAATAGATTTACCAAATCTTGCAATATCAGGCCAGCAAAAATATTGGGTTTAGTATAACTTGCAGGAAGCAATGGTAAGCTCCTGCATGATATTAAGGGTATCCAAAGGAGAGCCTCTCATGTGGAAGCCGCAATTAGTAATCGAAATGAATGTGTTGAAGTCATATTCGTTGATCACCTATAAACATGATGAGAAACTTGATCTATTTTGGGGGGATCACCGTTCAAAAATGGTGTGGATATCGGAAGAAAAGCATATAATTTTATTTCATCGAATCAAAGACATTTGGAAGATAATGCTATTTAATGGGATAATTAAAAATTTTTTAGTTGGCTGCTCAATACTAAACAAGATAACTTAGGCGTATATCATGATTTCGTTGTTTAGAGAAAGCAGTGAAAAAAAATAATTTATTAAGTACAATTGAAGCGAAACTTCAAAAAGCTTTCTCAAGTCTCTTAATTTGGTGGAGTCACATAGGTTATAAATAAGGATATATAAGTTGTAGAATATAGTTTTGCTTTGGGTAAAAAATAAAGTTAATAATAACCTTAAAAAGTGATGTATTGAAATCAACTCAAGAATGAGTAAGCAGGGAAAATTTGGAAGAGGCCTAAATAGAAAGATAGGCTAGACGAGAACGTGGTAAACCTGTACAAAATAAAATCTCTAGTCTCTATGGAAATGGCAGTATTAAATGGCTTAAGCCTCATTTCAGGATGGAAAGAATAATAGAATTCAAAAGTTTAATAGATGTATTCTAAGATTTATTTTGAGCTACAATTTTTTTTGTAAGTGATAGCCATGTAAGGGTACTAAGATAAGGGTACTAACACTTAGACAGTATAAGCAAGTAATATTGAGGAAATTTGGACTATATTCACCCTAGGTCGCTTAAGGGGGTGAATTTCAATTAAACTTGCCCCTTAATATTATAAAAATGTAATAAAAGTTAACTTCATTTGGATAAGAAACAATTTTGGCAGATAGGGCTACGTAAAATTTAAGAACCAGGTTATGCCTGTCTACATCATTTAGGGAAAAACAAAAATGCGATCCTTTAAATTCTCGTAAGTGACCTAATTCCACTAAATTCTTATGCGCTACATTTATTCGAAGCATTGGTTGTATTTGATCTATTTTTCTCGTAAACCAATAGACTACGCCAATGTAGAGATGAATGGGAATAAACTTCTTGTAAGCGTGATCTAAACGAAGTAGAAAAGTCAAAAGAGCGCCATACAACTTGGTCATTAAAAGTAATAAATTCATTTATTTTATTATCCAATTTCATAACTGATTACTATAGTGTATACACATATTTATAGGACAGACCCGTGAGTTTCCATGAGTCTCAGATGACATGCTTGCGATCGTCCCAAATTCACCATGAACTCCCAAGATTTAGCTTCTTAGAAATTATGTAAGGTCGTTTTAACAAGAAATATGAATAAGAGTGAATGCCTGCTTATTATTATCCTGACATAATCAACTCGGCTTTGTAAAGATTTTGAGTCAATTGCGATTCAATTAATTTCAGTCTTACCTAAAACTGTACAGTTTAGGTTGACATCGTCGCCTGGTTTGGCAGTAAGATGTCCATTCACATCCAAACCACCAACCTTTACGCGATACATGGCTGCATACTCATCGTCAGGAACTAAAATCGTTAAAAGCAAATTCATTTATTCAAGGTTCACAATAGGATTTTATAAAATAAGCTTATACTGAAATGTATTTCAGTAGATAGTATATGGTAGATGAAGTAATACATATGTGAATATAAATATAGACTGGCACAAAAATGGATCTACAGATGTACAAAGGAAAATATGAAAAGATAAATAGCTGGTTATAGAGTTCATAACTTTGCTATTGCCGAACTTGCTTTTCGAGCTCGTTTAAAGTAATTAACTTTGAACTAGCACCATATGACTACCAATCATTTAATTTTTTTTTCAACTGTCTAATTGACATTATTTCTATAAAAACATCTTATTTATAGGCTGTAAATGAGACTGGATTAAAGGAGGATTTTCTTATAGTCAGTACTATATGTGCATTGAGCATACTAAGCGAAATATTCAAGAATAAAGGTAATATTAGTGAACAATGTACACGGGGTCGGGAGGAAAAAAAGTCACATGCCATTTCCTCCCGTCCATGGTTTGATGGGTAGTCTTCCTACATTCAACTGATAGAAAGGTGAAGTATAAACTTTGCTGTCTCGAGTCACGCGACAGCGCAAGCCTGCGGCGTATGAGGTTGAAGATGTTTCGACTCCTTGATCGGGATCTCGAAGTCCTAAAATCATGAGGACACCAGCTGGCTTCACTTCTACGCTTTCGGCAAATGGACCAAGACTGCCTGGAATTACAATATTGTCATATCGGCTGCGATGGAGAAGGTCCCAGCTGAAGCTGAGGTCAGTAATGAGGCTGTCCGTTTTTGCATCTGATCAGGAAGGATCAAAATATATAATAAAATGGGCATTCCATTAAGCTTTAGGCATTCTAAGGCAAACAAATAGTCTAGTATTTATGAAATACTTTCATCATAACTAAATTTTCTCGCAAGTTGACTAGAGAGAAACACTTAATGCCAGGGTCAAAATTCTTTGCTATTAGGCGGGATTAAAGTGACCAGAGACTTGATCATCACTGTTTCCTTAGGAGCGTAAAGGATCATCTATAAATGTATAATTTAGAGTTTAGTTGGATGTGCAATTTCAGAGTAAAAGAAACATACTAAAAATGTACTATGAATTAAAATTGTTCAAACAATCTGGTACAAACCTTTCATCTTAGAAATGTTCCTATCCCTTCGGCACCATTATCTTAATTCTTACTTTCTCTGATTGTTTTCAGTTATGCTAAATTAATAGCAACACTTCATTTTCTTCAGCAATTATATACCGCTTATTTTGCTCATTAAAATCACAAAAGCCTGATGATCTTCCTCCGGTCTTCTTAAAATCTGATCGGCTCTGCCGCCGCTAATTTCGTGTTCAACCATCAGGCATTGCAGTGCACCCGAGAAAGAACTATATTTCATTCTTACATACTACTTGTTAAGTTACAGCCCTATCTGCCTAAATATCCCATAGTTCACTATCAGACAAATTTTCCAAGCTTGTTTAGAGTGCAACGGTGAAGGGGCAGTACTAGAGAACCTACATTAATAAAACTCTTCAGGATCCAGATAAATTACACCTCAAGGTCTACTATATGACCTAGTATTAATTCCCATTGCTAAAATATGGCGCAGGCAAAATAAAGGTGGCTGCATCAGAGCAGACATAATAAAGGAATCTGAC